GGCTAATGATAACCATTAAAACACCTGCCATTTGATATAAATAAATAAATAACGATAGAAACATAACCCCAGTTTTAAAAATTACTTTTGACTTGAAAAAATTAAGCTCTGATCGAGTTTTCGCAGATAAAAGAAATTGATAGAAATTCAAAATCACAATCAAACACGTCTCGCACACACTCAACGCATGAGATATCAAAGATAAGGTTCCGATGTTTTCAGGAAACAAAATTCTTACTGTGGTAGCCTGCTTCAACATCACCAGAGGAGAATAAGCGATCAGCGTTAACCAATATAGCCGTAGGGAAAAACCTGAAATTTCCCTTTTCCGTTCTTCTTGTTAATGTCTGATCTCAAGTTGTTATATGTTTAAATTAAAGTTAAATATATAAAGTTCACTCACTTGCAGTGGTTGCTCTGAATCCATTGAGTAGGGCTTGAGAAGTGAGCTCCATGGTTCAAATTTGCGACTAGAGAGGCTCCAGTAGTAGTCAAATATAGTTCCCTTTGAAGGGAACTTCACGGACTTGAATTCATTGGTCCACCACTTGTGAAATTCCATTCTATGGTCTATTATTTGATCTTTGAATAAAACACCGCCTACGGCCCAGATACAGCAAAAACAGAATAGACTCTCATAATTTTCCTTCGTGAATTCACGAGTATCTTTCGAATTTCTTTGGCTATCTAACATACATTCAAGAAGGTAGCAGAGCATATTGACGTGGGACAAATCAGGGATTGGTGTTATTTTCTTGAATTTCGAATTGCAGATATCCAAACAAAGGCCAACATACTTATCAAAACAGATCGAGAGTGCTGGTCGTTCTCCACGAGAGAGCACTTTGCCCGCTTTCTCACGAATGTCTAACCAGCTGTGAACATACGGCAGCCAGCCCAAATCAGTAGCATTTATGAAGAGAATTCCAGCCCTGGAAACAGTAGCAGGAGTGGCAGTTTTCAGATGACTTATCTCAAATAACAGACGCATAGTTGGTGTGAGAGGAATACGCTCATTACTAGCCAGAGTAAGAATTTTGTTGTCATCCATCACCGTGTTTAACGACTCAATCCACATAGGATCGATATCACCATCCAGTACTATCCACTTTGGTCCCTTATGTGTAAGATTTGACATGTCACGCATTATGTTAGAGAAGAGACCATCTTTCCATTCCCATGTGGAGGACTGAATGACACCAAAGAGTTCATCATTTGTTACCGCCTTGGGATCAAGGTCAATTGCCGTCGGAGTACGACCATTCATGAGATGGGTATGATATAAAGTTTTCCAAACTTCAGTCTTTCCGGCTCCAGCAACCCCTACTATGAAGACTGAGTGCCTAACAGCGAAGAGTTCGTCTAATTGAATTACCTAGGAATGAGGTGAATGCGAAAAATAATTTCGGTATATTTTGTGATGTTTGTTTGGATGTTTTGAAAACTAACCTTGAGAATGAAGGCTTCCTCCGCCTGCAAGCCTTTATGAATGGCAGCCCTCTTAACCTCTTCTTCCAATGCTGGATTTCGTTTCCTTGGAGCCTCTAAGGCTGGAAACAGGTCTTTAATAAGGCCCAAGAACACAGGTAGGTCATCCGTGACAATCTTGGGTGTGTTAAAGTCTCGTAGTGCCCGCATCAGAATTGCATCCTCCGGCATCTCACGATTACCTCGTTTCAGGGAGCCGGCCACAACTAAAACAGACTTGATGGCTCTCAAACCCCAGTCGTAATGGTCTTGTTTGGAAAGTAAATCCTTGCAGAGTTCATATAGAGTGATAAATTTGCGAGCCAAGAGCCTAGCGCCAACGAAACCTTCCGCAACCAACATGATTTCACATATCAAACCAAAGTCAGGCACGACCATAGCACATGGCCTAAGAGATCCAAATAAAACGGGTATCAAGTAGCATTCAAATGAATGCAGGTAAAAGTATAAAATTCCATAAGCCCTATTGTCTTCACTCCAAATTTAACTCACTATTGAATTCGAAAAGTATGGTTGAAGCTTCTTCAACCATTGTATGAATCCTCTGCAGAGGTACATGCTCTTTCAGATAATTTCTCGTCTTGAAGAACATAAAAGGTCAAAATTTAAAAACTCTCTCTTGGGAAGAAAGAAACCTATAGTAACCTACGGTGTTGCCAATATTGAAATCTAGACATATTAGTTCAACTATTTCTAATTCTAATAACCAGGGGTGTGCGATAGATTTACCTTCACGTGGTGCACCCTGGCCAACGTATACTCATACGGCAAAAAAGTCTATTAATTAGCAGTTGACTTCTCACTTCAAACTCCCATGACCCCACTGTATGTCATATTCGACTACTTCACAGTACTCACCTCACCTTTTTTCTACCTTCGTCTGTGAAGCCTGAAGTCAACTAAAGGGCCAATGATAACTATCAGAACGCCTGCCATTTGATATAATATATCTCTCCAGAAGGTGTCAAGAACGAAGTTGAAAGTCATGGATAAACGCGGATAAGTATAAGATAATTTTAACCAAATAATTAAATGGGAAATAAATTCAATCAACATAAATGCCTTAAGTTACCGAAAAAGTGTTTTTAGATTTTCGGGGAGTTCCGTACGACCCGCATATCCAGGATTCATGGTGATAAATAAGCCTACCGATGCTTTCAGAGGAATAGTCCCTCCCAAAAATTCGAACGTAGTCTTCCTCGATTTAACGGCATCCTGAATGCACTTAACCTGAATGATAAAGTGTAATCACACCACTTACAAGCACATTTTATTAATCTTAGTAGAATATACTTATGACATTAATTTACCTGCACAGAGATTACAGAGAGAACTTCCACTGCTATCCGATTGAATTCATCGAAGCATCCCCAGGCTCCGCATTGAGCAAGGCCCTTATAAATATTCCCTACGGATTTATAATCCATTTGCTCAGAACAGTTAAAGACGTAAACCATGGTTCCGAGAGCTCTTCCTAAGTCTTTAGTGGTCTCTGTCTTCCCTGTTCCGGCCGGTCCAGCTGGAGCCCCACTCATTCCAAGGTGAAGAGATTGTGTCAGAGTTATGTAACACCTGTCTGTCAATGGAGTTACAACTAGTCTTGGTGTGCAGCCTAGATACTCGTGCTCATAGACGAACTGAGCATCGCAGATATTGACAAAGCAGTCAACTACCCTCTCATCCCATCTAAAACGAAGTTGAGAAAGCCATTGGAATGCTCTAGAGTTATCAACTTTCATAGATATCAGCTTTCCCACGGTGTCTCTATTGTGTACATCAATTGTACAGAGAGTCATAATCTTTTGCCGATCACCTGGGGTTAGATCAGTCAACAGCATTTCAATAAGGGCACTTAAGGAGGCAATCTGTTTTTTATTGTACTCCTTCATTGAATTTTCAAGACCTTCTTCAAGACGTGCGAAAGCAATGCCCACCTCCGCGGTCCACCCAATTTGAGAACCTGTTAGGGCGACTTGAGCTGGATAGTCGAAGATCCACTGGTCACGAGGTTTCTCCTCATACGCAGCGACTGCTTCCGAGAGAGTCATTCGTATGGTGTTTCTCATCTCATCTAGAAGATGGCTCAACCATTCCTCCACTTGACCTTCCAGAGCAAATTTATTCACGAAATCAACTATTTCACCATCCTACCAAAATCAACAAAAGAAACCAATATAATTGTAACTTAAACATGAAGAAATCCCGGTTTTACTTGCGTTGCTAAACTACATGTATGTTTGTGGATGAATGACCTTCTTGTGGACCAATAATTTGGAAACGTGGGTGTGTCTCCACCACAACGATTAGGCAATTAGAACTACATCAAAATATAGACTATGCAGTGACTATTTTGAATATGAAAGCAACTGGCATGGCTTAATTTTTCTCAGTCAGTAGCCATGGTTACAATGATTATGAAAGCTTCACATAAGGCAAGCGACTTGGTTGGGGTGGGGTGGGGGGGGGGGGGGGGGGGGGGAAGAGTGGAGGGTGGAGGAATTTTAAGGGTGATTATAACAGAATTTCATTATGAATTTTGCCTTCAGTAGTACGAGGCGAAAGAGTTAGATCTTTTCATTATCTTCCATTAGTTGGTTTTGCGACGCTCATTGGCGAATCGTAATTATTCTTCCTTATTTTAACAGTCATGTAAAATCCTACTTTTTTCTCAATACATTCTCCTGTGATATATCAAATATTATTTGTTATATGAAAAACAGCGGTATGAGAAATTCAGATCTTACCTTAGCTTCCATTTTCAGCGCAGTCAGGTTACTATTAGATTGATTATCAGAGTTGACGATAAGATTACAGATGCTGTCAAATAGTTTCGATAGGTGTTTGAAAACTCTCTGGGGCATCTTTCCCTTACTAACGATATCCGTCAAATCTGCCTGTGAGACAAAGTAAAATCTTGGAAAAGCCAATCGTTTAGTTTCCAAATAGGTAGCTAGAGTCTTTGCACATATCTCAAAACCATTTCGCACCGCTTGAATATTATCAAACATTTCCGGCTGACTCGTTGTGGCTTCTACAATTTTCGGTTTTTTAGCTAGTTCTTCGTTCAGCAGGCGAAACTCCTTGTCGTGCTCAAAGAAAAGATCCGTGTCGTTGGGCAGCTGTTGCCGAATATCATCACATAGCACGAATATAGCTTCAAGACCTGACCAGACTTTTTGGGTCTCGAACCATAGGGTAAGTACTTTGTCTACAGTAAGCAATATCTTATTCCAATGATTAATCTTTTCAATCGAGTGAGCATTGTCTCGATTTGACATCATGTCAAGTATTTTGACTTGGGTCTCTTCAAGTTGTGCAATAAGTGCTTCCGTTTGCTTGGGCAACATAAGTCCAGTCCTTTCATGCTTCTCAAATTCAAAGCACATATTTGTCCACGTGTTTTCGATTTTCTCTAGGTCCCCCTCTATCTTCTGTTCATTTAACGCCTTAGAGACTATTCCGTGAACCTTGTCTTCGAACTTGTGGAGATTCAAAGTGAGGAGTTCCTCGAGATCTGTGTTATTACTAATATCTATAATAGCCCCTGTGTCTTGCATCAATTCCGCCCAATGACGATCCTTGATTGCCGAATTCTGGAGATCACTGACAGCGGATATAGATGTACTAATATCCTTCAGTGCTCCTTCAAAGTCCTTATAAAGAGGCCACCTTTTGACGTCTTTGTCTGCTGATCGCAAATCCAATGATATAACGCGGATAACCTAAAGAGCAAAATCACAGAAAGTAGATTTTTCTTAGGATTAAATGCGTTTAACTACTCCAACGGGCTTACATCTTCAATTTCCTCGAAGTTAACTTGCTTCCATGGTTGGACCTTCCAGGATGCTATGTAGTTGTTGAAAGTGTTGACTAAATCCCACATTTTCTTAACGGTCTTCATCTCTCTCCGCATAGTCTTCAGATCTGCATAGTTTGGAATATCTCGAACGTCGAATGACTTTGCTGAATCTTGTATTGCGGTGACATCATTTTCCAATTTTTTAAGTCGAACATCCCACTATAATGAAACTGAAATTTAAAACAGGCCTAATAAACCTTCTTAAAACGATATTTAAACTCACGTTATCGAGTTGGACATAAGGATTACGACAGTCGTATCGAAATATGTCTGACCCTGCAAACTCCTGATGCATGGAAGATACCTGTTCAACGTACTGTGAACTCAAATTTCGAATGTTTTGCACTTCGCGTTCCTGAAGAGGTTGAACTTTCTGCTTTGTTATAACTGAGAAGTTTTTAAGCTCAGTCCATTGAGTTGGAAGAGCTTCTAGTAACTTAAGTACAGAATCAGGAAGCTCTTCATTGAATTCCCGCAACAACGCAACCGTTTCTCCCAATGGCTCGAAACCAGCGTCTGTCACATTCTCGGCTTCTTGGATTAGCTTTAGTCTCTCCAACACTTTAACGAGCTCATCATAGCCAACTTTGTTTGGATCATCTGAGAATGATAGATCGTTATTGCTATCGTGAATGAATGTGCTGAGTCCATTCAGAGTGTCAGTTACATGATCCACGAGGAAATTTTTAAATTTCTCGCTCCACTGGCGGATTTCCGTTAATAAAGACACTTTGAAGGGTTTCAAATCAACTCGCATCCAGCTGTCAAATACATGTGAATCTTCTAGTTTGTCAACTTCTTCAAAGACCCTTTCAAACTGGAGGATAATTTCTCTAAATTGATCTAAAGTTGGTGGGTGTTCTGGAGCAAGTATATTGCCATTGTCATCGAAATCTTCCCTAGTTAGCAATCTTCCATAAAGACAGAACTGTCTGATAAATTCACGCCTATTATCAACCCAATAGAACGCATAATCGGCTTCTAGGTGCATTTGGTACTCAGAAGCAGCCCTCATAG